ATATACATATTTGTTTTCAGAAGTTCTGTACATGAAAACACCGCTTTTGCGTCTCAGTACATTATTCAAAAAAAGCTTAAACGTTTGGGTGTTAAAAGCTTTAAAAAATCACATTCATTTATTCCTTTTGAACTTTCATTCTTATCCTCATATTTTTCTATCAAAAAGTCATTAGAAACCTTTGTAGGTGGAATGGGTACTCAAATAATTTAAACCTTATATATCTACAAGATAGTGTGGCATCTTTCCCGCTTAACTACAGGAGGAATAAATCTCATCCCCATTTCCTTGTGCCTGTGTGCTTATAGGATGTAATATCTATAATTCAGCCAAAACTAAAGTAATTTTCATTCGAAACGAAGGGTAGGGTAAATAACGTAAATCTTTCTCTCCAAAAGCGTTGAGAGGTTTCACGAAAGCTTCTCGAGGAAGCACAACATAGTATGCTGTATCGGAAAACTGTATACTGTGAAAGAATTCTCCAATGGTACCTTGTTGGACAAGGAGAATGCTTTTACCAACATATTTCCTGGTTCCCTATTCAGGATCTGGCTCCAAAGACGCCTCTCAAGGAGGAGTTTTATGCCCACAGTATAGTAAACAGGCTTATTCGGCAGCTAAAAAGCAGACGTTCTGGTGCGGTATCATATGCTGACGATATCGCCCTAAAAACGTCAGGAAAACACTTTCAAAGTCTGAGTAATCTACTTCAAATCGTCCTATATATGGTAGGAAACTGGTGCAAAACTAAATCTTAACACAGCAAAAAGTAAAATTGTAATTTTCACCATGAGGTACAGAGCATCACTTTGTAAGGCACCACACTTAAAGGCATAAGTTGGGGGTATCTATCAGTTTAAGCTTGCCAAGCGACCAATTTCAAGAGTTGTCAGCTTAAACTCTAATCCGAATATAGCCCTGTGAATATACTCGTAGTATACGGTGGTATCTAAACTCATCCTATTCTACGGTGTCGTCATCGAAAAAATAACTTTTAGGAAGAAACTAAGAAGGATCCAGCAGTCTGTAGCTCATCTTTTAACAGCAGCTGTGTCATCTGCACTCGCTCAAAATCCTTGGAAATTCTGCTTAATTTCTTTGATCTACGGCAAACTTCCAGCGAGCAACAACACAATGAAATTGAACGGTCATTAGATTTTTGCAATGCAACTATTTGACATAAGAAGTGGAGATAAAATGAAAATGACTTTGAACAAGCTCTCGAACAAATGTAACACTCCTGTGATCTGTATGTCCGAATACAATCCATGTAGACATTTAAGGTGTGCCTCTATCTCTTCTCAAAACAATGCTTGATTCGAACCGTAAGGAATTCAAACCTCTCATTCAAAGCAATATTTATGTTGAACTTTTTGGAGCTTTCATTATTTGGGCTCGCTTTTAAAAATGCCAGTTGGTGTGTTTGTAAAAAGAAAATTATTTTCGGTCTTACTATCACTTGAAGTTTAGTGTAACTTCTAATGGGTGTTTTTTAGACGTATGGTTTTCAATAAGCCTATATATTTCCTGGGGCTTGTCTTTTCAATGAACGGTGCTTAATTTATACTTAGCTGGGCTTGCCATTTTTTTGATGTTTTCATACTTCTTCAAAAGTAAAGCCTACCATAATGTTACCGTCATTGGAAAACGCTAAGAATTAATGACTTTTTCATAACGCATTGGGAGGATGGATGTTTATGTGGACGGTCTTTGATTTCATCAATACAGCGCTACATGTCAAACAGCCAACAAACAATTTATTGAAATATAAACTTTTACTGAGCACTTTATCTCGCGACTTGGGCCTGGTGCGTGGCTAGACTATTTTTTGTGGGGTTATATGAAGTCACTTTTCTTCGCAGCTAAGGCCTAGACGATTGATGCGATTGCAAAAAGTGATCGTAAATTGAATCGCTCGACTGAAATTTATTCGAGCAAGTCACGTTAGTTACCTGCCCGAAAACATTTTTAACCTTCAAGCGATCGGGCGGCGTCGAATCGACTGCCCGAATATGTTTTCGTTTATAACTATGATATTGAGCTATGTTATTTGATTCAAAATTGCTTTATTCTGAATTTAATTATAAAATTCAAAATAATAAACGATGATTAGTTAATTAGATTTTTATCTCACTAATATATCCCATAGGATACAACATCAAATTGTAGAAAGAAAACCATACCTTGAAAACCATAAGTCTGCAAAGAACACCCTGAAAGATATAACAAAGGCCCAGCGGGATCGCTAAGACTTCAATTTCACTGAAGCTTTTGGTCAGAGTGATAAGCTTTCACCAAAAAACTAATTAAAATTAGACCGTAATTTATGTCTTTAATTCTTAAGCTTTCAAAAAAATTTTCAAAGACAGTTAAGTATATTAAAATATAAATTTGTGCATATAATAATGTGTTAAATATAAATTCATAAATACTTAAGTGTGTTTTTTTTGATTTTCATTTAAATTTTTATACTAAATATTATTATTATTAATTTTTTTTGTAAATTATTTTTTTTTTTTTAGTCTCTAATCAAAGAAATGTGTCCCATTAGCATAAATCACTTTAAGCATGATAGCTTTACACTTTTCACTTTCCGTGCCTTTTTAAGTGTGATTTGATAAATAAAGTGAAAAAAAAATAATGAAAGCAGACAAAGTCAAGTGACTTAAAAATTTTAAGATAATATAATAATAAAAAAACTAGCAGAGTTAAATGTGAGTTTTCTTAATGGATATTACGAAAATGTAGGAAAGTGTAAGAAGATAGCGAAAAGAGAATGAAGACCATACAAATTTTCAATGCATTTTAAGAGAATTAATTGAGGATGTACATATGTTTCTAGATTTCCCCATAGCCACAGGTCACTTTTTGATTTTTCAGTTTTCCCACAAAGCAAGTAGAATATAAAAATCGAAAAATTGATGGTTTGAGTCGAAATCCAAACGATAAATGTAATAAATACTCAAGAAAAAAAACGAAGAAAGAATAGTAAAATACTCTATCCCAAAAGAAATCGTCAATTTCATCAAATACTCTACGAAGCGTGTGTAAAATATTAAAGTAAAAAGAAAAGAAAATACGGTGAAAGAAAAGTAAAAAAAAAGTTTGAGTAGGAGGATCCAGAGTAAAGAAAACATTTCACGCATGTGTGAAGCTGTTTAGAATTATAAGTGTGGTTACAAATATACATACCCATACATATACATATATATGTATGTGTATATACATACAGATATTCCGGCTAGTGCTATAGAAAGGGAGGATATGCTTAGGTATAATAAAAATAGTTTAAAGACAAGTAATAAGTAAATGATGGTGATTATGATGAGCGCAAGGAAGAAGAAAAGTACAAAAAAAAAATTAAAAATAAAAACAAAAAGTCAGCTAAACCCTTGACACAAGCATACATATACACCTTTGTATATATTCTTTCACACACTAACACTTTCACAGTGCTGTGGTATGTAGCAAAGAAGGTAGCAGGAAAACGTTCAGGCAGGTAAGCAATGGGCTTCTTTGTCCTGAGCAGAACTGGTTCCTTTGTATATTCATATCTATATATACTTATATGAGTATGGAAACGCTAATAGGCAGGTGTGTTATATGAAAAATATACACTAACATACATATATACATACATATATTTATATATATTTAAAGACATGTGCGTAGGCTTCTAATTTAGGGCATCTTTTTCTTATTTGCACTTTATTGTTTGTTATTGGCAATTTCACATATCCTTTTTGCTATTTCACCCGGGAAGGAGTTCCAATGCTTATTAGCATTTTTAATTGTGTGTGTGGATGCTGTTTTACTTTTAAATAACTCAGTAAGTTACTTGTAGATATGTGCGAAACCATATGCACATATATATATATTATATATAGATATGTACATCAGGCTTTCCTGTTTTGTAATTTAAAGAAAAACAAGACTTTCTCATTTCTGTGTATATGCTCTGGCAGTGTGTTGAAAAATTTCGCAGATTTTTTGAATAATGAAGCACTGCTTGCGGGCTCGAGGTGAAAAGTGGCAACATTGCATTGAATATTAATTTTTTATGTATCCAAATTGACGTCGTCATCTTGAAAGGATCTCCTTTGGAGCTTGTGGACTTATGTTGGCGTTGTTTTCAATCTTCGAAATTCTATGCAAACTCGCCTTTTGAGATAGTCTCAACACCTACGGCTGTAAAAACATAACTTTTTAAGATTCTATTTATTTTCGTTAATGGAAAAAGGCACATGGAGCCTGGTGATTCTAGTATGATATGCAGACTGGGGCCTTTGTTCTTCTTTTTCTTTATAGTCATTGGCCAATTGGAATTATCAAGTGAAACTTGATCCACCTACATTAGCCATTTTATTTTATTTGATTTTATTTAATTTTTTTATTTTATTTTATTTTATTTTATTTTATTTTATTTTATTTTATTTTATTTTATTTTATTTTATTTTGTAATTTTTATTTTTTTTTCATTTTATGATATTGTTTCTTATTTTGTTTATCTGAAAGTAATTAGAAAATAAATAAAATTCGACACCCTTAAATGTATGGCTTTATTTGTGGGAGCTTTTAAGCTCGTTTTATGATAAACTGATAATGACGATTGGTTGATAGTAGAAATTAGCAGTAAATTAATATATACAGACAGACGGATAAATATGAATAAGTATTGTGTTATATTTTGATTAAATTTTAACAACAATTTTCATTTGAAAACTTAAACAAATATGATAAATGACTATTAAATATTATAGATTAATTTCTACATTCTTAATAATTAATATTTAAACACTTTGTACATAAACAATAATCAAAATATTTGCACAAACTTAAGTAAAATATCCATTAACTGATAATTTTGAAACCGTGTACATGAAACTGTCAAACATCATTGTCAGGTCATCTGTTATATGTTAAGTACATAAACCAATGAAATAGAAACAAACACAAAAAGTATGTAACTTCTCCATATATAAAAAGGTCAAATTTCTGTGCAAAAACCAGTTGCGAATTAAATTCTGCATAGAAAAGTACTCAAAATGAAACAGTTTAACGGTAAATTAGTGATTTTGTGCGTAGCATTATTGGGAATATGTGAAGCTACACCTTTGGTTGAGGACAAGGAGTTCTCCTTCGGCGGCTGGCCAGGAAGTTTAGATGACAATACCGATTACTATGTGAGCAGTAAGAAGGTGAGTTGGAAATTAGTGCTCGTATATGTATTATTTGAAGAACAGTAAACCTACTCAGTGGTTAAAAACACTTATTCAACCCACCAACTAAAAGAATAATTATAATAATGATTATAAAAATATAAAAACATTTATAAAACATATTTATTCTCTTAATATTTAGGTCTCCTGGTTTGCTGCCAACTACTATTGCTTCTCTAAAGGCTGGGAGCTGGTATCGCCTGAAAATTTCCAGGCACTCACCTTGCTGAAAGGTTTTCGCGAATTATATGGTAGGTGGCAGTTTGAAATGATTTATGAAAATAATTATTTTTATTAAAAAAAAAATCCCTAACAAAGATGTCACCGGCACCACTTACTGGTCTGCTGGTAACCGTTTGGATGGCAGCAGCTGGGTTTGGGGACTTAATGATGGTGGCTCAAAGTTCTCCATAACCAATTGGAGTTCCAATGAACCAAATGGCAATTACACGGATAAATGCTTACTGATTGATAATTCGGCCGAGTCTTTGTGGACCAATGCTGATTGCGCTGCTAAATACAAGTTTATCTGTCAGAAGTACAAGGCAACTACGAAAACTGCGAAATGCAAGGAGAGTATTTTCTAAGCGCATAAAATTATTAGCCCAGCTCTTTTGTAACTGTTTATGATGAAGGACGTAATGTTGGAGGACTTAACTTTTTTTATTAATTTTTTTTTGTCGCAATTTTAAATCTGTAAATATAAAAAACTTAATTTTTCCTTTCTAAAATCTTAAGCAAATGTGTTTTCTTGTTTAAAAACTTGTCATACCAAATGAAAAAGTTTCTATACCATTTCTTACTAGTCATGAACTAGTTTCTAATTAGTTACCATATTATATTACCATATTCTTATTCTGTGGTAGTACGTAAAGAAGTAAGAAGTTCTTGGGTAAGGTGGTTAGTCATTAGAGTCATAAAGAGGTTGTTAGTTTAGCTTAATACAACAAACATATCGATGAAGCTCTTTATCTTAGCTTTCTTTAAAAAAAAAAAGTTATAAATATATTGCCTTGGCAGCTTGCATGTCCTTTGAGTTTCCAGCTTGCCGTTGTATGCTGCTGACCTCACTCTCTCATCAGTGGGTTGTAGATGATATAATTCTTAGTAGATAGTCTTTGTCGTCTTCTTCATTCGTCGAACTTCATCTAACAGATGCTACATCCCAACCGAATGGACTCAGGGCCTGCGGGGAGACAACGGAGGTGCAAAGTAACAATCTTCTGAGTATATTTAATTGGCGCTTTGTAACCGCAAAAACGATTTTTCGGCCGAGGCTTCTCCTTCAATTTGTGGTTGTGCGTCTGGATGTTTTTCCAACTAATGGAGAGACCTAGAGTTTAATTAGGCCGCCTCCGAACGGCTGATGATTGTTTTATGTGGAGCTTTATTTCATGTCCGAAATACACTCGGAGGGTGGGCATTCCTTTATGAGAAAATTAAACTTAATTTTTTTCTTTAAATTAAATATCCATTACTTTTGGATGCTGGTGGAACGGGGAAATGAACCAGAGCCATCCGAATATCAGTTCGCATTACTAACCACTCGGCTACCGCGGCCGCCGTTTTATTACCAATTAACAATTTCCCTATTGGTATCGGCGAATTCCGCAGACGAATCAACGCACTGCAGCGTTAATAGTATGTGAGGGAGTAACCGTCGGTAGGAGAGGAAAAAGAAGAAGACCTCCATTCACTTGAAAGAATCAGGGAGAGGAGCAACGAGTTACACTCTACACTTTAATTTTTCTTTATGAAAAAGGAAATTCAGTTTTTTTTCTGAAAAATCTGAAAACAAATTTTGGTTTAATACTGAACTAGTAAGTTTTCAAACATTTTGAACTAGTATAGTACTGGTATATTACTGACCGAAATCTGTGATTTGCCATTATTTACATTTATTTGTAACTTTAATAAGTGAAGTACTTTTTGAATTCACGAGACATGCCCATTCCAAAGCACATACATATGTTTCATCTACTATATTCGACTTGAGGGTACCTCGCCAGCAACATTTCGTATTGCAACATTATTTGCTCGGTCATGTTGAGTTTCTACAAACTGCCTTGCAACATTTATTGTAAGCGGGATTCACGAAAAAAAAAACAATTTGAAAAGAAAATACAGCAAAAGTCACTTAACAACACAAATACAAATGCAGAAACGAAAACAAAACAAAACACACGCACACAGCCAGAGAGAAACCCAAACAAAAATACAATCCACCACATGCGCGTTCCGACTCCAGTTCGGGCCACAACAGAAATGAAACAAAGAACTTCGACTCACTGCCTTTCCGGCTGAGATGCAACAAGCGTTTGCCGCCACCCGCACGCCAACAACAAAATACACAAGACAAAAAAAGAACACGCATCAACAAAGATACAACTACCATCCACAAAACGCCAATTTGTACCACCACCAACGGCATTGAAAACAAATTGGAATTGCTGAAACGCGACTTCAGAACGACGACAGCAAGTGTGGATTGTATCCGACAGATACGCGCACGATTTTGGTGGCGGCGTTTCGTTTCTCCTCGGCTGGCTGGTTGACTTGACTGCTATGCCTGCCTGCGATGCAGTTTCCACCGTTTGCTCGATTCAGTTGCTAATCGTTTGCCGGCCTTTTTGGATGTCGAAAATCATTAACGTAGTGTTCGTTGTTGGCGTACGGTTGCGATCGTCGTACACAATTCGTCGTTGATTTACGTGCGGTCGTTTTTTTCCAGCTACCTGGCTTATTGTCGTTGCAGTCGCTGTCTTTTGTTTGCAAAGAAAAGCAGAAATCGACAAGACAAGTCTGTAAGCCTGGCTACTTGCGGGCTGCAACAGAAGTGTTGGTAGACGCGGGTGTTTTTTACATACATACATACATTCACACATATGTATGTGTGTGCGCGCGTAGAGTTCTTACACAAAAACCAAAAACGGACAATAGATTTTCATGATGGATCGGCTACCTTTGGGTTTTTCGTAGGAGAAGAAGTGAAACTGTGTAAAATTAATGCATGAAATACATACATATGCACATTTTCAAATAGTGTAAGTTACAACAACTTAAATATACATATGTACACAAATGCATGTACCATACTTCTGTATTTTTGTATTTTTCTAATTGGTTTTGTTGTATGGATGTTTAAGAAAAATATTTTTAAGTGACTAAAGGCATTAGCTATGCACCAAAAAAATTATGTAAAAAAATGGCAGGATGTGAAAGAAACAAGAAAAAAAAACAAAATCCATTGAAATGTGGAAAAATTACTTTGTGTTCAAAATTACGGCAATAAAATATAAATTTATTTAAAAATAAAAAAATAAACAAATAAAAATACAAATGAAATAACTTATAAATAAACCAAACCTTTCAAACAAAATGCCTTGCGAGGAATCAAAATCAATTAAAAAATTTTCTAAATAAATTTTAAACACTTTTTATTAAAAATTTAAAACATTGAAAATTTTAACTGAACTGTGAGGTACTTAATTAAGCATTTAAAAATGTGGTATAAGCATTTAATAAACAATAAAATAAATGAAATAAAATCATGTTTTTAAAATTGCGCTCGAAATATGAAAAATAATTCGTTTTGACGTTAAAAAATTATAATAAAATTAATCAAAGAGTTCGCAGATATTATATTCACTCATAAAATATACTAAAATGATTTTTAACAATAATGAAAAAATCTCGTAATGAAAAAATTTCAAATACAAAAATTAAAAACGCAAAAAAAAAAATTATTTCAATCTTTGAAAATGAAAAAAAAATTAATACAGAAAAATAAAACAAAGCATTGGATATTAAAAAATGTATAAATGTTTAAATTATCATCTCAAAGGAATTTACAACAAGTGTTTCGAGCAAAACATTCTTGGATTGACTTCGTAGAAAAGTAGGAATGTTTTTTCCTGAAGGAGAGCACCCAAAAGTTTATATTCTTAGGTCAAATTTTTTTAACTGAAGTGAAAAGTTATTGTGTTTATTTGTTGTTTCAAGATGAAAAACTAAATACTTATATTCCTATTAAAAAAATTTTGGAAATGAAAACTATAAATAATAAATTAAAAATTAAGAAAAACTTTAAAACTAAAAAAAAATTATAAAAAAATTGTAAATAATAAAAAAAATAATTAATATATGAAATAGAAAAATAAAAAAATTTTCATAATTTAAGAACTGTTTAATAAATATATGAAATTAAAAATGAAAAAAAAAATTCAATATTTAAAAACTAATAAATATGGCGCAAATGTTGTGTATTTTGTGAAAAGAAAATATTCCCTGTATTCTTGATTAAATGATTCTATAAAAAAATATTCATAATAAAATAAAATGAAAAATTGAGCAAAAGGTATTTTTTAAATTGAACATAGGGAATGCATATGTAACATGAGCTGAAAAGCGTCGAGTGTTACAAAGAAAATCTGTTTTTTCTTTGATCAAAATTGAATTTTTTCTTCTAAACATAATTTCCATCAAATTCACAAAACCAGTTCGACACTGCTCTAAGATTTCAATAGCACTTTTGCATCAAAATAACCTCCACCTTTGCGGATAACCTCCAAATTCTACCGAAATTTCTTACCTGAGAACATTTGCTTTGAGATCTGCGGGCAGCCAGTATACAACGAGGGCTAAACCTGCGTCACTCAAAGGAAGCGAGCAGCAATATGAAATTCAAGTGTTATAGTATTGCCATTGATGGACTTGTAATATGCTGTGCTGTCTTTTTGAAAAGAAAAACTTCCATTGTCACTATGGTCTCATAATATTCGCTACTGACGAGGTTTCCCTTCTCGTGATAGAGCGATGAGCCAAGCACTACTCAAAATACCGAGTCTATAACCTTTCCCGCATAGATCGATGTGCTTAAAGGCGTTTTGGATGTGGTGATGCAGTTGCTGCGCTTTCAGCTGACTTTTCTTTCGATTATGAATTAAAGTGTTGGATCCATATTTCATATTCATTGTAGCGTATCGATGCGAAAATTTCGGCTTCTCACTTTTAAACATGACCAAAGGCTGCTCAGAAACAACGACAAGTGAACAAACGTTAAGGGAGTTTTCTAATCAAAAGCTCTACGTTGTTATCAAATTATCACATTTTACACTTTCCGCTTATTCAAAATGATTTTAGGTATTTTTAGATATTTTCTAGTGTTACCGTCTCCACCTTACTTGGACGTCCTTTGCATGCTGCGTCATCGGTGTCCCTACGACCAAGTTCGGAAGTCAATAAAACAACGTTTTATTGTTGTTTCTCATGAATCTATTAGATTCGCTTGAAGAAAGTAGCACTTGATCTAAGATAACAAATTGAAGATAACAAAAGAACTATCACTCTTAGCACAACTCAGTCCTTGTATGATGCCAATAACGAAATTTTTTAATTTTTTTATTGTAAAAAAATATTTAAAACTCAATTTTGAATAAAAATAACGAAATCAGGCTTTTATTGTATAAAAAAAATATTCTTCCCATTTGTTTTAATTATGAAAAAAAATTCTTTATATTTTTTTTATTAAAAAAAAAACTATTTACAACTCAATTTCTAAACTAACATCCCTGAAGAAGACATTATATAAAAAAAATTACAAAAAATTATGTAATAAAAATTGTAGTAAATCAAATGGAATATTTACCTACTTAAAAATTAAATAAATTTAAATTATTTCTTGCAGCTTAGCAACCACTGGAATTAACGGATATTGAACGAAAGTAACAAAACAATTAGCAATCATTTAAAAAAAAAAATTAAAAAGTAATTAAAACAAAAATCAAAAATAAATAAAAAATAAAAATTTTAAAAGTGAAATGTGGGCAAACCTCCCACAGTGCAAAATGTTCGGGTAAATAAATATGCTTTAATATGTATTGCGATATGCCATATGATTGCCAGTAACTAAATATGTAACAAAAAAATTAAACAAATAATAATTAGTGCAACTAAAGCTACGCCATTGCACCAAACACACTTGCAACAAAGCAAAAATCAAATCGCTGAAATCCTAAACTACGCAAAAAAAGCTAATAAAACCAAGTTTAAAGTGAAAAAATGTAAAATAAACAAAAAAAAAGCTTAATTTCTTAGATAATTGACAAAGCACAAGTGTTTTATAAGCGGCAAGTGAGTGCGTACATACATACATACATACAGCTGGAAGACAGCCAGAAGTGCAAAGCGAAAAAAAAAATAAATAAATAAATAATTAACAAAAAACATATTTCACTACAAAAATTGCAACGCAGCAAATCAAATACGCACATTGAGCCTCAATAAATAAAGCGACAAAAGATTTCTTACAACAAATTTACAACTTGTGCGCTGGTGTGTACAAATAGTGAGTGCTAAAGTGTATATGCAACAAAGTGCCGCCGACGGCAACACACTACATATGGATATAAAGTGTTGGATGAAGGCGATGAGACAGAGGCAGGGGCAGACGCGGCCAACTGTCGCCGCCACACAGCCGCTGCTAAAAATACATACAAATGCTGCGTCATTACTTCGGCGCGCCAGCGAGATGCTGTTTTTGTTGCTACTAATAGTCGGCGACAGCAGATTAACTGGATTGCAGCATGTTGCAGCGCTTAAGGGTGAGTTTTCTTTTCTTTCGTCACACAAAAAAAAAAAAAATACGCAGAAAAATAAAAATAAATATTAAGAGGGGAAAAGAAATAGGCGAAAAAATTAGAAAAATCTAAGAGAAAAATGAAAAGTTTAAAATTAGTTTGTAGCATCAACAGTTGCTACTTGCAACATAATAGAGCGCCAGCAAATGACATTTGTGGCATGCACTTTACTTGCTATATAAATATGTATGTTTTACAATGCATTTTCCGGCTCCAAAGAATGACGAGAATCTTACTAAAATCTAAAACTGTCACATAACAAATATATGTACATGTACGCAGAGATGTATGTATGTACAAACGCTTGTGCCGCTATTTATTGTTGTGTAGGCGTGGCAGTTGTGGTTTTTTTTTTGCTGGCGATAGGCGCATAAATCGAATTCTAATACTGTTAATTTCCTCTTTCTACTGCTCCATGTGGCAACTTGTGCATTATCAGTTTGTGGCACACACAATTGGTTGCACAAACCATCCAACGAGTCTACGAACGCATGGAAACCTCTTAATAAATATGTGCTTGTGTCTTTATGTCAACATTTTGCCACACTTATCTATTCATATTTAAAAAAATCTTCACTTCCCAGCCAAAATTTGTATGCACGCGCTACGGAGTTTGATTATTTATGCTGCATGTGTTTGCATTCGCTGCAGTTCAGTTACGTTCAGCACTCGGCATGTCAATGGCTCATCATCATGGCGGGCTTAACGGCGACTTTTCAATTGCTGGCTGACAGTGACGGTATTTTGTTTAAGATTATATACGTACATATTCATTTTTGTTGCTTTATTACTGTTGTTTCAAATTATTTTATATATTTAGAAGTGCCGCTCTGTACGTTTTTCAACCTCTTTTCCCACACCATTGTCAACTCAACATACTCGTATCTCTTCATTTGCCCCACAATTAGTGCAGTTGAACTTTTGTTAAGCTCCCCTTTGACTAACTTTGATTTATACATATATCTCCAAAGTTATGTTGTTTTTGCTTTTGTGTGTGTTCGGCATTAAATCATCAAGAATATTTAATATCACTATCACTATTTCTAGATAAATCTGAGTATGAACTTATAGAGAGATATGTCATCATGTTTGTTTGTGTGTGTAAATTTGTCTGTAACGCTTATTTTCCACATTCTCTCATATACGTGTGCCTAGATTTTCACTATTTTCTTGTATCAAGTAGATTAGTATGTAAATCCCTTTATAATATTTTGTTCTCGTAAATAAATAGTTGGTGTTCGCAGGCTTTCATGTTCACTTTACTTTAAATTTCCTTTATCATACCTTTGGGAGGTGTTAAGTCAAAATGTTAAGTGCTTTGTGAGCGCCGGTGTTGTTGGTGTGCAACATGCAACGTAGAGTAGACTTTGAAAAGTGATATGATTTTCTACAATACACTACTTGTTGTTTTACGTACATATACTCTTTGTAAGAGTGTATATGTATATGTATATGTACATTCTTAAGTACATAAACATTGTATACTTGGCTTAGAATGTGATTTAAGGCGTTTTCGAACTTTGCTCAACACATTCTCTTCAGCGAAGTTTTACGTCGCACTCAAAAAAGTGTTATCCTAAATCTCGCAAGAGTATCTAGTGTTTATTATTATTTTCACTAAAAATTTAGCAATTACTTCATCGGTAATAAGTGGTAAGAACACATCAGTCAATTTTAATATATTTTTTTTTAGGAAATTTGTGGAAAAGTTTCATACACATTTTCGTAATTTTTTTTTTAGTCTCACTAAGCACAATAATCAAAAGAAAAAATAATAAAAAATAATTAGTTCACTCTAACAGCCTTCAAAAAATTCATTTTTTTATCTTTTATTTGTATAAAAGTACAAAGTGTCAGGAATATTTTCCCCAAGTTTCAAGTCGATCGAGAAAACAGAGAATTTTATAACCCGCCGTCCTTGTCATGGCTTCACCGATGGCGAAACTTTAAATGCGTTGTTCTTAGAACCACTTTATCGAAATCGGTATTCAAAATTTCTCAACTACGATTGAAACGATCGAGTTCATATTTTCCATACTTCTTTTAAGCATATTTTTGTAGTCCCTGAAGGTTTTATTTTATTCTTGATTTCGACCCATTTTACAAGCCAATATGTGTTCTAATTTTATGCAAAAATGACGTATTTTGTAGAAAAAAAACGATACAAAAAATTTAATTTTTTATTTTTTTTTAATTTTCCTTCATTCAGAGACTAGAAAAATTCACCTCCTTTAAGAAAAAAAATTGGATTTTTAATTTCAAAAGTTGAAAAAGTTATCACGACTACCGTGAAAGCACTTTCTCGTGGACGGTCCACTACACGACACTGCCAACGCCTTACTTATACTATTTATTTTTCGTTAAAATTTTCGTCAAATGTTGTCCACATATTGTGATTTTATATGTAAACAAAATAAATTGTATGCTTTATTTAGTATCTTTTAAAAAAATTTGAGAAAATAAGCTTTTTTTTGCCTTCAAGACCTATATAACACCTTAACACTCAAATAATATGCCTCGCCTGCCTTTCTGGCTAGAATTCTGACGCTTAACTTTTTTGAATTTTTATTTTTTTGAAATTCTAACTCATGAGAAATCCCGGGCTCATATAAGAAAATTTCTGAGGCCTGTTTATAAACATTTTCATAATGTTTTTTTTGTCACATTTAGAATAAGAATCAAACAAAAAATATTAAAAAAATAATTAGTTCACAATAATAACCTTGTGTGGTGATGCTCTACCTCGTTGCAAACTTATTGAGTTCTTTTCTACAAATTTTAATCTATTTTTTTTTTAAACCCAGCTGACTTTCTAGGAAGAGTTTTGAAAATTTTAACACTTTAAAAATATTTCTTGGAAGATCTATACTCGGCCAGATTTTATGATTTCATGAACAGTGAATTTACAATTTTATCAATGAAATCTTTCCTATAAGCGAAGTCTTTGAATTAATAGTCTCGCAAGGTCAATATCAACTATTAAAATAATTTTTTGTTTTTGGTGTGTCTAGAGTCAAATTTCATAAAACTTTTATTTGCGTACTTTTTGATTAGCTCATGCTGAGAATTTTTATAATTTCTTCCATACAGTTTTACTAAAATCTGATTAATTTTTTCATGGATTTTTTGAAATTTCCTTATTTTACATATATTATAAAAAAAAGTTTTCCGACTAAATGTCATGCCCGTAGAATAATCGAAAATTCCGCGGAACGGTGTACGGAAATCAGTGATAGTCCGTACTGCCCTGAACTTTTGTCTCTTGCACTGAACAGCTACTGATTTGCTTTCAGCTAAACTAATGAAAGCTCTTAGCAAGAAGGTTTTGATACAGAAAGGAGTGTCAGAGGAATCAATGCTGGCGGAATGAGTATTAAAATGTTTATAGCATTAAAAATTACTATTCTTGCTTCTCTCAACAATTAAATATTAAAATACCATAAATACTAAATTTCAGCTGTTAATTTGATAATTATTTTTTCTGTAGTTTTAAATCTCGACGCTTAACAAAATCTTCTCAATCATGACAAAATTGTTACACAAACAACTAAAAGTTACATGCATTTCAATGTTTGTGCTGCATATACACAAGTGAAAGGGGCCTAAAGTGTCAAAATACCCTTAAAATGTTGCTAAAATTAAGCTCACTAAGTAGGAATTGAAATTTGTATTAGAAATTTCTGGTACTTGCCACGAAGCAACTTCATGCGGATAATCAAAAAAAGAATTGATTCGTAAAAGTCGTAAAATTAATTTATTTTATGAAATAAATATTTACTTTTTTAGTTATATTTTTCAATTATAATAATGCAATAAAGTTTTACAAAAATTAAAAAATAAGTATACAAACAGTTTATGTTTCTTGCAATTGTTTCAATTTTCTGAAATAGAGAGATTAGATTCCTTTAGTTTTATTGGACATTTTTCGTTTAAATATGGTAATCGAAACATATTTTGCCCAAAATATCAAGTAATATATGTAGCTCAACCAGTCAAAAGCATACCGACTCAGCTGATGCGATCCATCTTATGAGTACATAAAATGTTATCAACGTTTCGCCCTGCAGCCATGAACGGTTAACATACAGAGAAAGCAGAGTAGTTTGTTTTGTTTGAAAAACCAGCTCAGCAGTCTGCTCACTATTTCAACAAAAATTTGTCTTCACATAAAACTGTAACTGAAATCGTATTTAATTGCTTATCACCATTAAGTTGCAGCATATTTTATGTAAGAGATATGTATTTGAACACAAAAATATATGGAATTCATTGACAAAAATCATAAATTTGTTCAAAAGTATGTATGTCGGGCATCTGGTAACATTTGAGCGTTGCGATCTACGGGCGATGTGTTTGACACAATGCGTTAGATGGACTAATAAATTTAAATTCGTGTAATGGGAAAGAGAATATTTTTTACAAAAAAATTGAAAGGTTATATTTCACTAACCAATGTCAGTAAATTTTCAATGGAAAAAATTTGGAAACTCTCTGAATGGATAAAGTAGTTCATCACTATTGTGAACTTCGTTCTTTTTGCAGTGTTCACAATAGCATATCTCTCAGAGCAAATGCTAATGGCGGCCACAATAGCCAGAGGTTAGCAATAGGTACTATCACACGGAAAGTCAGATCGAGCCCAAAAATTACAGGAAGTTAATTTTTCCAATTGCTATCGCCCCCCGGCAGGGAATCTCAAGCCTTTCGTGTATATTTTAGACATGAAAAAAAATGCATCGGTCATTCTAAGGCAGCATAAAATAAACTGTGGGCCTCACTATTTGTTCGAAAAAACCTTAAGATGTGCACCAAAAATGATAGATGGAATGGGCGGAAAATCGTGTCAGCGGATTTAAAGCTCCAAATAAAAATAAATACATAAATGAAAAAAAAATTAGTCACGTTGACTTTACTGCTCAACATTCTTTCGATTCGTGATTGCATAAACCGTCAGCACTTTGTAAGAAATTTCTCTTGACAACTAAATAA